ATTTGAATTGAAATACAGGCCATATGGCATTCATAAAGTTCATCTTGAGGGACCTTGCGGACCATTTCAAAGTGGTAAGCAGCCCATGAAGAGCACCCAAGGGAGACAAACTGCAGACAAAGGAAGCAGTTTCCTACAAGAGCCTCCAATCCAGAGTCACAAACACAGATGCAAACAATGACTTGCAATTGAGCTGCCACTCACACAGGCAGCTTTATGCTGAATGCTCCGGGGGAGCTCCAAGGTAGGAGGCTTGTCTGTCTGAACACGGTGAATGACTCTCCCAGACCACCCCAGATCTACAAACTAGTCAGGTTAAGATAACACATCCTTATGATTCTGTCATGCATTACAGTGTATAAAGCACTTAAACCCTTACTGAGTAGATGCAGTTGTAAGCGTCACATCCCATAGTCCTTTTTCTTCCTCAGTGCAGCAATACATAGTGTAGACTTTTAAGAGGATGGCTTTGATGACCAGTGCTTGGTAATGCTTTCACTACAGAGGCCCCAAGACTTCCTTAAAAATGACTAACGATCAGTCCCAACTCCATGTTGCTGTAGCTCCCTTCGCAGTGCGTGGAGTCCACACGGGCACACTCCATCTAGAGAGACATTTTCCATCACAGGCAGGTAAAGGGGATCATGACACGTCACCCCGAAGCAGGCCACACTGACACGAGGTTTATTATGAGTTGAGGCATTTGAGTTCCTGAAACCCCTTCTGTGCCTAATAGCAGAGCCTCCCTCAAAGGATTCAAGTGTTATAAATCCCCTCCCTGGGAGGAGAGGGAGCCAGCACCACACCCAGACACTGTCACAAACTATCATATCATCTTTTCTCCTAAGGGCCTATCTATCCTTCCAAAAAGTCACGTGCTTCTCCACGAACACCTGTCCTCCCCCTCTCTTTCCCCTGCTGAGTTAGTATCCAGACCCCAAGTTCAAGCCGCCCCTTGATGTTGCTCCTCACTAAGTAAGTGTGAAGCACATGCTAATAAACCTCTGGTTTTTCTCTTGTTAATCAGTCTTTTCTTAGGCTAACTTTATAGGGCCCCAGCAGGACAACCGAGGGGGGGGGTGATTTTTTTTCTCCCCAACAGTTTTGGTGACAAAAGTGGGAATTCCATCATCAAGGACACCTTGCTTGGTCCAGAAGCTGCAATTAAGAGATCCTGGGCCTCAGACAAAAGCCACAGAAGATCAAACTTCTTGCCAAAGTCAGCCTCTGGGATTTCTGCCCACAGGGTCAGGTGGAATGAGGGTGGTGAAAGGCTGTCTTTTCAATTTAATTTTCAGGCTCAGCCAGGGACCCCAAGAGGACAGAGGACAAGTTTTTCCATCCCTATGCAGGAAAACTGAAAACATTTCTTACATGTTGAGGAATACTGACTCCGAGGTCTCCATAAAGGTAGTCTACTTCCCCTGACACGCTTGTCCTCCTGCGCTGACGTCCCAGCCCCACGCGGCTCTGGCAGCCACGTTGCACACCGACACCTAGGCCCTGCTTGTTACTGTCCCGCCACACCCCTTACAGCTGTCTCCAGCACTCGCAGTTACTATAGCGTTTGCATTTTGAAGATAGCCATCAGCTCTCACAACCACAGGCAAAAGCACAAGCATCCTGCCTTGAAAGCTGCACTAACCATCCACAATGTTCCTGTGAGCCTGGAGCGGGCCTTCTGTTACATGAGCCAGCGTCAATCACCAGCAGGACAGAAAAGCAATAAAGCGGTGGCAAGAAATTGCTTCTTACAGAAAAATACTTGATCATAACCACTTTGAAAATTGACTGCAAAATTGAACTGTACCACAAAGACTTCTTTAAGAAGTCACAAACACACTGCCATAGCCATTACAGATGCCTTCTTACCAGAAAAAAAATGAATATGTTACACTTGCATCATGTATTAGACAATTCACCAGAACTGGTAACAAAAAATTAATATGAAGCAACCAGATCAGGAGTACTATTTCCTTTTCCATAAATGTTCTCTAGATTTGCATCTGCGTTTTCTGTTTATAAACAAAATCTTTCATGCATTTAGCCTGGAAATGCTTACTGAAAATAAATGTACACATGTACACACACACACACACACACACACACACACACTCCTTAATCTAGAGTGAAAATAGAAAATACCTTTTCCCCGCAGTTATCAAGTATTTTTAAACCTTTTTCCTCAGCAAATAACTAGGCTGAAAGCAATTATGTTTCATTGTAAAACGGACAACAAGCATACATGCTGGGAAGAGTGGTTGGTTTGGGTCAGGATTTCTCAGTCTTGGCACTACTGACATTTTGGGATGGACAATTTTCTCCTGTGGGGAGGGGGTGCTTTCCTGGACATTGTTCGGTGTTTAGCAGACTCCCAGGTCTCCACCCCCACCCCCACCCCCAGCCATGATAATCAAATGTTTCTCCAGACTTTTTGTCCTGAGGGCGGAAATCATCCTGTGTTGAAAACAACTCTTTGAGGTTGAAGTAGATTATGCTCTGTGGCAATGAGACTTCAGGAACCCTTATCAGGTTTTTTTCCCCAAAATTTTTCTAGCTGTGGTATTTACAAAAAATGAGATTTCTAGGTAGCCTACTGGAAGAAATAAACAAAGCTGCCCAAGGGCTGAGAGCTCTCTGTTTGACACATTGGGTGGGAACCCAGTTACTGGAGACGCAAAGGTTGGGAAGTGGTGTCCGTGGGAATCATGTCCCTGACTGTCCCCACCCCACCTTCCAGCTGAGGCCTGTCTCCGGCTCATTGATCAAGCATTATTTGCAATCTTCAATTCTCATCAATTCCCGAGCTTGGCAGCAATGCTCCAGGCAAATGACAGAACCCATCGTAGGGCCGCTATTTGCAAAACAAGCTATCGGGCTGCTGAGAACTGAGGCAGTGAAAGGTGAGGTCTTGTCACCTTGGTCCTTGGAAATAGCACAGCCTGGAAAGCAGAACCTTCTTTCAGGAGACCTCTGAGCCCTTCAGGGGTGACCCTGCAGCACCGCCCTTAAAACAGGAGTAAATTCCACCTGGCTGGAATAGTGCCAAGGACAAAGAGACTCAATAGTCGCTAGAAGCCACAGGTAATAATATCGACATTCTGGTGGAAGAAACGCAGAGAAAGTATCAGAATTCACCCCATGAAGGGGAGCAAAAGAGTCACAACAGAAGCAACAAGTAGCAAGAGACACCAGTGGGCCCAATCCCATCCCTCCTGATAAGATTTAAAGACAAATTTTTTATTTCAGCTTGTAAGTTTCATTTCATTTTAAGTTTTAAATGTTTCTCTTTAATCAGAAAATGCCTTCAAACCCCTGGGCCAGATCTGGGACACTGAGTTCTATGCCCTATAAGTAAAACCAAAAGCAGGCCCATGTGAAAAACCATCTTGTTATTTCTGGTCACGTGTTACTTTCATGTCACAGGAATAGGAAAGAATGAAAATGCTCTTCTATACAAACAGCATCTTAAAACAGAGTTGGAAGGAAGAAGGGAACCTACACTGATGGGACAGGGGTGTGGTTGGGCGTGGTGCTCTGCCTACGGAAGAATGAGAAATGGGATGGAAAAGACTTCTTAAAATTATCTTCCTGTTATGGACTGAAGTTTGTATCACTCCTAAAACTCTTCTGTTGAAACCCTAACCCCCAAGATGATAGTATCAGGAGGTAGGGCCTTTGAGAGGTGATAAGGCCATGAAGGTGGAGCCCTCTTGAATGGGATTAATGCCCTTAAAAGCGAGAACCCAGAGAGCTCTCAGCCCCTTTCCTCCACCATGTGAGACACAGTGAGAAAACCAGTCTTTAAACCAGGAGATGGGCCCTCCCCAGACACTGGCACCTTGACCTTGGACTTCCCAGCCTCAGAACTGTGAGAAATAAAATTCTGTTGTTTCAGCCACCCAGTCTATGGCATTCTGTTACAGCAGCCCAAACAGACTAAGACGCTTACTTAATGAGGGAAGATAAACAAGCAGCAAAAAAAGTTGAATGTACATGGAATAAACAAGCAGCAAAAAAAAGTTGAATGTACTTGCTTCAAAAATGAAGACTTTTTTTAAAATAAGCAAAGTATGCAGGTGAAACAGAGAAAAGTCATCTGCTTCTAATAGAAATACATCAAAGCAGTTACCTAATTTATACAAGTTATCGCTTAGACTGAAGCTCAGCTGCTTCCAGGCGAGGGAGGAATTGGCCAGAGTGCCTGCATTTTCCTTTATTTGTATCACTTGTTTGTAATAGTCAATTGCTTGCTTCCTTTGGAATCTAGAAAAGAGAAATTTAGTTAAAGTTTTGCATCAAAGAAGCATGGCATTCATTCATTTATTCAACAAACATTCACTGAATGCTGCTAGGGCTCAGGTGCAAAGATGGATGGGACTAATCCTTGTCCTTGGAGAATTCCCCGAGGTAGGAGGGGAGGCTGGAGAGTGAAGTGGAGGTCTGACCACTCATGAAGGGCATTGAGTGCAAACCCCAGAGTTCTGACTTTAATACTGAAGAGTTTTCCTTAGGAGAATGATGTGATCCAATTTGCATTTTAGAAAGTTCACCCAGGTGTAAGTGCAGAGCATAAACTGAAGTGGGAGAGGCTGTAGGTGGGGAGATCAGTCAGTCTAGGGAAGAATGATGAGGGTCTGAGCTAATGCAGTGGCTACAGATGTAAAAGGAGACCTGCTAAGTCTTGGCATTACGTTGAATGTTGTGGTTCCGGTGCTGGGAGCGCTGGACTTCCACACATGCAGTTGAATGACGAGATTTGGGGCTGGAGCTCTGAAACCAGACTCCCCCGGTGCTAATCCTGGCTCTACCACTTAAAAGCTGGGCAAGCATCCTAATCTCCTAAACCTCAGGTTTTTCATGTTCAAAATGAGTATAACAATTTTGCCTTAAGGATTAAACAACAACAACAAAAAAATGTATGGATTGGGTTTAGAATGGTGACTGATAATAAATATCATAACAATATCATGTATTGTTAAGATGATGCCATGGTTGGGGAGGGTATAGTTCAGTGGTAGAATGCCTGCTTATCGTGCAAAAGGTCCTGGGTTCAATCCCCAGTACTTCCGTTAAAAATAATAATAATAATAATTTTTAAATAAATAAATAAACCTAATTACCTCCCCCCAAAACAAAAACAAACAAAAGCAAAAACAGAAAAAAAAAAGATGATGCGATGGTGTTTGCACTGGGAGAGACAGGAGAAAACATATTTTGTCAGGGAGAGGGGTGGATGTTCTCATTCTTGGAACGTTGACTCTGAACCGCCCGAATATCTTGAATACCCACACACAGACGCCCCATAGGCAGGTGGGGCACATGTGTGCAGCTGATGAGAGAAGCCTGAGAAGGAGATGAAGACGAGAAGCCATCACCTCAGAGAATGATGACTGAAGCCCTAGGAACCGGCGAGGTTGGGGTACTGAGGCTGAGACAAGCAGGGAGTCCAAGAACTGAATGCAGGAGAACACCACCGTTTGGAAAAGAGTCAGGGAGAGAAAGAGGAAACCCACGAAAGAAACTGAGAAGGCATAATCAGAGAAGACAGCCACAATGGAGTATCTGGGAAGCCAGGAGAGTATGGTTTCAGGAAGGGAGCCATCGGCACTGTCGCATTCTCCAGCAGGAGAGGACCAGTAAGACCAAAGTGCAAAGAGACACGGTTAGGATGGTGTTCATAGGAGGAGCTGAAGTGGAGATGACGTCAAATGAGGTCAGTGGGAAGTGAGGCAGCAGAGAGACACGTCTGTGGGGGAGACACTGATGACAGGACAGCTGCTGATGAATGGATACGAAGTTGAGAAAGAGCAATGACATTTATTTCACTGAGAACATACCACTGTTCCTCTTAAGACAGTTTGTTGGTTCTTTCCTGTTCCAGGGGAGGGAGGGAGGGAGGTTTACTTTTACTTTTGCAACTTGACCTCATGTATCCATCGCTACCTATCCCCACTCTCCAAAGCCCTCAGGACCCCTCGGATCGTTTCTGGAGTGCATGAGAGCTGTCTGAGGGCCCCTGGCCACCAGGACATAGGATTGCCACAGGTTTGAGAGGTGAGGTGAATTGCGCAGCAAAATAGCTCCTGGGCTCAACCAGTGTGGAAGATGTGGTCACCTCAGGACAACCTTCAACAAGGAAAAAGTCTTCCCCGGTCTTTCAGAAGGTTGACTGTTGACAGTGAGGTCTGAGGAAAAGGCGTCCGAGTACAGTCAGGTCCTCTGACATAGAGGCCACGTTGTGGAACGAACGGCTGCAAGATTGTGTCTCGTGAGTCACACCCTGCCGGCTCTGGATTTGTGGGAGGGCAGCCAGGGCCCAGAGATGACTCAGTCAGTGGGCTGCGTGTTTAGATTTCTCTCTTACAAGGCAATGGTTCTACTGTCGAGCTTTCTGCTCCCCTAAAGAAAGTCCTGTTCTCTGCTCACAGTGCTGGTCTTAAGAGGAACAAAGTGGGGTTTATATGGTGTCAAGGGCCTCAAAAATTACCTTCTGTGGAGCAAAATAATCACACTAAGAACTCAATTTATCAGCTCTGCTAGTGCGCCAGGCGTTCTGCTTAGCACTGTAAACACAGGCGCTCCAGTCCTCACAGTCACCCTGTGAGGAAGATACCATTACCGCACTCATTCTCCCAGCCAGGACATGAATGAGACGCCAACATGTTCAGTATGTGCCCAGGTTCTCACTGTTACCAAGTGGCAGTAACAAAATTTGAACCCAGGCCATCGGACCCCAGAGCCCACCATCTCAGCACTATATAGCACCAGTAATTTTACCCCTTAGATACTCCTTTATTTGGGTGACTCTTTTAAAGGTACATATTCTCGGAAAGGCTTGATATTGATCTGCAGTTAAGTGTTAGAAATGATCCACGTTCTTCCTGGGAGCAAAAGCCGGAAGAGGTCACCTTCCCAATGAGAGGAAAGTTCTCTCGAGGACAGTGGAAAGCGGAAAGTGAAGGGCAGGATGGGGACCAGGAGGGGAAGGGAGAGGAGCTGCAAGAGCAAAGCCTCACAACCTTACAGTCTCACCTAGAGCGTCCCCGGCCCTTCAGGCAGCTGAATTGGCTGTGAAAGGCTTCAGGCCAGGCCCAAGGAAGGGGATGGTGGACTCCCTGTGTGTGGACCCACAGAGAACCTTCTCCCATAGCAACCCATCAAGAGAAGCAGGCGAGCTTGGCAGACCCAACACTGATGCGATCCGGAGGGCAATACCTACAACCGTCTTTAAAACGCAGGCACTGACAGAGCCCCTCCTTGACCAAACTCTCCTCAGGTTCTTCTGAGCAGTTTTCAACTAGGCCTCAACTTTTGGACATCCGTGTTCATCTCTGCATTGTCCAATTTCAGCAAGAATCTGGCTAAGTCAGTTTATCCACCCTTGGTATCTGATCACCCCCCATACCTACTCCGATTGCCCAACCCCCACCACCCCCCAGGTGATGTCTGATCACCCTGGCCTGCCTTCAGCAAGAAGCCTGTTAGGTCTGTTTAGCCAGAATCCCCCCAGACCCCTGATGTTTCCTCTTAGTAATTTTCCATCCACTCACCCCCACACCTCGCCTTTCCTTATATTCGGACCTGAGTCCAATCTGTCTCCCCCACTGCAGACCCCACTGCCGTGGTCCCTACACCTAGCACGAGGGCCTGAATAAAGTCTGTCTTACCTTTCTTTAACAAGTGTCACAAATACCTTTTTCTTTAACAGCTTTAGCGATGCTTTGTGCAGGAGGCTGAGAAAAGCCCCACGTATCGCAAGAGAGCGAGAGGACTTCCCCAGCGAGGAGCAGGGGCAGGAAAGCACGGCCGAGGCACTGCAGGCTCGGGCCTAGGTCTTGCAGAAGACAGCACCGCAGACACGCTCCACAGAGGCCTGAAGTATGTACATCTTCCTCACATGACCTGTGATGCTGAGAGACATTCACGAAGGCGTCGTACTCCTTTGTCACCTTCCTCCTGCCAAAACCTCTACACAGCTTGTGGGCCAAGAGCTCCTGTCAAATATACTATGTTCAGTGTCCTGGCAGATAGATCAGGACAGAACTCGCCGGCATGGTGAGTCTCTCCAGTATCTGGACAAGGCTGCAGCCAAAAAGTAAGATGCCCCGATGAGCGATCCCCGATCTCCCTGCCACTGGTGGGGTTTTTTTGGGGGGGTGGGGGGTGGGGAAACAAGACACCCTACTTGAAACATTTCCTAAAAAACTAAACCTTTCACTATGTCTCAGTGGAAAAAATAGTAAATCTGCTAAAAATTCCAGAATTTCTCCAACTAGGATGCTTTTCTTGCCAAACTTCTGATATTTAAGCATTCTTGAAATTTCATTTTTGCAAGAGAAGCATTTCCAGCAGCAAATCTGAAAATAAAATGCTTGTGTGCTACTTACAGGGCACTATACATGTTGGCTACCTTCATGGTACTATCGAAAGTAATTCTCATAAACATCCTTTTTCTATACAGGAAGATACAAAACAGCAGAGCAGTTTATATTAGCAAAGATTTAAGACCTTCATAGTGATTTATAAGATGCGTGTACATCTTTATAAGAAACTCGGGCACTATTCCCAACCTCAGCACTGCTGACATTTGGGGCTGGACAGTTTGTTGTGGAGGGTCCTGTGCAGTAGGTAATGTTTAGCATCATCCCTGACCCCTCCCCACTGCATGCCAATAGCAAAGCCTCTAGGTACCATAGGCAAACATATCTCCAGACATTGCCAGAGGTCCCATGGGGGGAAGAGCGTCCCCGCTTGAGAACCACTGGACCAAAGAATGGAAAGGCTAAAATTCAGCATTTCTTAACCCTATCAGTGAGGCGGGAAATGGATGAATGAGTACGGGTTAAGTATAGTAATCATAACAGTAACAGTGAGTACAAAAAACAAAGTTTTCAAGAAAAACGTATTTGTTTACATCAGAACACCTTCCGTGTATTTCATGGTAGCCTGGTTGCAAAGGTTGTTGTCCAGTAAGCTGGACATCTCAGCAGCACTTGGTAAAAGGTGACTTTCTTTCAAGTACTCACCAGATGCTGACGTGGCCAGGTTGCTCAGCACTCTGCCTGCAGGGAATAAACTTTGGCAAAGAAGAGGAGGCTCAAGGCTTTTTTTCCACCGAAGAATTAAGACATCACTAGGCAGAGCATTTAGTGTCATTTCTTCATCACTGCCCAAAGCTGGGTTTTTTCTTAGAAAATCAATTACTGACCTACATTGCGTGGGAGTTGGTTTTCATATGACAAATTTGTGTGTGTACCACAGTTACAGGGCCAAGGAGCTAAGACAATAGATTGAACCCAAATTCAAGTCTGCTTTGCAAATGAATGGGGTCAGAAACAGAGTGAGAATACCACTGTAGTGAAACCAACTGTCACTGTGGTAGCCAAGCCCTACAGACGGCAGCCAGTACAGTCTTGCAACAAGAAATAATAAAATGATACAGCCTTACAACAGGAGACATGTGAATAAGCCCCATAAACCTAATTAGCAAATTATGGGCTGTACCTGGATACACACATCTTGGGAATGTATCCTTCTGAAAGGCCTAACATTTCACTAGTTTATTGAGACTTAGATATCCTAACGGTAGCAAGTGTTTTCTAAGCCATACTTTGTTACGCGAAGAGAAAAAACCATAATGATGATCCCAGAAGGCATTATTAGAGTATTGCTGGTAGTAAACAAAGCAGATTTAACTACCTGTGCTATGGAATTCCATCTTGGTTATAACGGATTACATTAAATTATCAAAAAGCATCTTTCCCATCATCAGTAGCACCCATTCATTACCTAGTGCCCACTGCACTGCCCCCTGACTCCCATCCAGGGCCTCATGCCTTGCATCTGGACATCAGGGAGGGCCAGCCACGTACCTGATCTCCCTATGTCCACACTTATCCACCACGCAATCCATTCCCTATACGGCAGCAAACGTGATCTCAAAACAGAGATCAGGTGAGGTCATCCCCAGCCCAACTTACAAAAGGCTTCCCCTCACACTGAAAATAAAATCCAAATGCTTCCCGAGGCCCTGGAGGATCTGAACCCAGCTGCCTCCTGTCCTTTGCTTACAAAGGCTTCTTTCCATCGCGAGGATACCCCAAGCCCTTTCTCACCTCAGGCTCTGCACGTGCTGTTCCCTCTGCCAGGACTGGCCCCTCCTCGCACCATATGTAGCTCCTGTATCTGTCAAATCTCAGCTTAAATGTCCCCTCCTGGAAGGCCCCCTGACCATCCTTTTGCAAGTGGTCCCTCCCTGGCTTATGCTCTTCCTCCATCTCTTGTCTGTGTCTCTGCCTGCATTTAGCACAACCTGTAATTATTGCATTTGTCAGCTCCCTTGTGTGTTGTGGATCACCTCCCTTAGTGGGCAGCATTTGTGACTCTGTCTTGTCCACCCTGCGGGATGCAGCACAGTGCCTGATACACAGCAGGTGATCAGTAAACAATCTTTGAATGTGTGAGCCTTGGTCAGCCTGGAATCCTTGCCCCGCCTCCTTGATATGTCTGCCTGGGCCCTGAATCCCCACCTGACCCTTGTCAGGAGACCGGAAGTAGTGTGCTCCCATCAAAGCTGTTGCTAATGACATTTATCTACCTCCGATCATCTCTGTTCACCCAGACTCCACTCCACCTGCTGGTTTTGCATTTGGAGAACCACCCTTGTCTGTACCAAGCCAAGGTCTGCCAAACTCCTTGGAACTCTGCACTTTGGCCTGACCAGCTGGCGCTAGAGGGCCAGTCCCAGAACCTACAGAAGTGTCCCTGGTTCCCACACTGGCTTCTTCTGCTCACCAAGGCCCCAGCATGTCCATGACCAGCCCTGCATTAGGACGATGACTTGGAAGCTAGACTCTCTGTGTGGAGGGTTAGGGCTTCACATGTACCAGCACTAGAAGAGATTCTGCACAGCAGGGAGTTATGTGGACAGGCGTTAGGATCAGGTGAACCTGGCTTGGACTCCCAGCTCCAGACGTGCTAGTTGTGGGTGCTGACATAGTTTATTTAATCTCTCTGACCTTCAGTTTCCTCATCTGTCAAGGGGGTGGGTAACAATAACACACCATATGCGGTGTCTCGGACAGTAAAAGACATCGCGAGTATAAAGGGCCTTGTACATAGTAAGTGTATAGCGAATGATAACTGTGACAATAGAAGTGGATTTATAGATGGAATGTACAAGGAGCTTGCCCAAGATGACCTTTGATCTCATAGCCATGGTGGTGGGCTGTAAAAACAGCTGTAATTCTCCACACCACGCTGTACCCAACTCTCCTCTGCAATGCCACTCTCCACCTCCTCCCATCCAGAGGTCAGAGTCTCTTTCTCCACCCTCAAATGGAGACTTAGTGACTTGTTTTGACCAATCGAATGCAGCGGAAGGGGGTGTTATGTCAGTTCTGAGCCTAGGTGTAATCTTCGGCTCTCTCTCTTGGAATTCTGTGAGCCACCAAGTGAACAGGCCTGGGCTATCTTTCTGAAAGAGGAGGAACACGTGCCCAGCCTCCCCAGTCACCCAGCCAGACAACCACCAGGCATCTGAGTAGAGCCCTCTTAGACCAGCCAGCCCCACTGGCCCTGCTAGCTGGTCACAGATGCCTGCATGAGCCCGCCCCAAATCTGCTGAGCCCTCCCCGGACCAGGGAGATCCCCTAGCCAGCCAGTAGACCCATGGGCAATAATAAGTGGCTGTTGGTTTTAATCTGTTGAGTTTTGGGGTGGTTTGTCATGCAACTAAAGCTAATTGATACAGCCATTTAAATATGACAGAAGGCTAGTGTCCTTAATTTAGTCTGAGTGTAAATCAGTGGGTCAAAAATGCTTAGTAGCTGCATTTACTGAACATTCTTTGTCTCTGTTCTATTAGTGGTACCAGAGCAGACTCGGGCATCAGATGTCAGAGAATAAAATAAAGGCTGCATTCATGAGCCCTTAACTATGTGCCAGGCCCCATTCTGTGTGCTTTATGGTCCCCCAAGAACGCTTGTAGTCTCACAACAATGTGCAATATAGACACTATTTTTACTACTCTCTTACAAACATGAAGACTGTGATGCAAAAAGGCTGTCACGTGTCTGAACGCAAAGGGCCAGTAAGCGGAAGGGGAAGGTTTTGAACCCAGAAAGTCTGGCCTTGGAGTCGAGCTCTGAACGCCCCCCTAACTGCTCAAAGCCTCCTTTTTGGAGGCACATCACAACAGCCTTCAACGTTCTGAAGGGGTGGTCTGTCACAGGAGGAGTGCTCACAGTCAACCTTCTCACATCTGCCAGCCCACCAAAAACATCAAGCTAACAAAACACACATATCCATTTCCCATTCTTCATGGGTGGGAACAGGAGTCTGGCTCTGAAACACAGAGGTCATGCCCCTTCACATGCCCACCATACCTTTTTGCTTCACTAAGGCCTGGCTGTCTTTTAAGTCGCTGGGTGAAAATTCCATCAGGTTTGACCATGCTCTCTGGAAATACTGGAGCCCTTCCTGAGTCATCCCTATCTCAAGACGGAGCTCTCCGACTGCATTCTGGACTTTGAAAAGCACTTCCGTCATGGACTGACTCTATACAAAATGAAAGAGAACGCTCTCTTGACGGGACACAGCACTACTACCAGACATCTGCCCAAGAAAGGTTCATTTCATTATGGACTTGCAAAAGATTGCATGCTGTATAGCATTTCTCAGAGAATTCTAAATACTTATAAAATGATGGTTATGGTGAAACATTTATTGAGAGACACTGCAAACTAATAATAAATTTTGGAAACTGTTTTTCACAGGTGTTAGTTAATGACAATAAAACTTTTGAAGATAAGAATAACATGATGATGTCTTGCATCTGGTAAAGTTCCCTGAGGAGGTATTATCTGGAATCCAAATGAACACCTAAAAGCACTGTCTATGTGGCCCCTGAATTCAAGTGTGACCAGAGATCTGCTAACTTAACGTTTCACACATTTTTGCTTAGAGACTTGAATTTCAATTTCCTTTCCTGGTTTAGCATATTAATTTCAAAGGTGCTTAAACTTCATTACCTTAAAAACCTTATCAATGCATAAGAATACACTAGTTGGTTATACACTTTTAAATGTCCAGTGCAAGAAATGAGAGCTAGTGACGAGGTGTCTTACAATTACTATCTCATCTCAGAGAACTTAATATTAACAAGCATGCATGTGAACATGTTTGGTAACTAATAAAGCTTATTCAATGGACAGCATTACCATCATCATTGGTCATGTAATACTTGATGTGGTACCGAACTTTTGCCCAGGACAGGACCGACTGAGCCTGGCTCCCTGGTGTGAACTCTTTCTGCTCTCCTGCACCTACTGAAAGTGCTCTTCCATGTCAAACTGACCTTCCGCTTGAGCCAGAGCTTTCCAATAAGTGTCCTGCAAACAGGTTACACCTACTCTGAGACACTGATCTCAGTCCGGGAGGCAGCTGGGTGTAGTGTGGAATCCCTGGGCCCATAGGCCTTTCACAGCTCACAGGTGTCTTTAAAAGTGCCCCCTTCCCAGCAGCTATCCCAGACCTCACCCCGAGTGCTCACCCTGCCTATCCTTCACTGTGAGATGACCTCTGTCTAGACTTCCCTGAGACCAAACCTACTCTGAAAGATTACCTTCTGATATTGGTTAGGATCGTGATTAGCTTCAAGTAACAGAAAACCCAAATTAACACTGGGTGATTTCTCTCTCATGCAAAAGTCAGGAAGTGGGTGGCCCAGGGCTACAGACACAATGTCAGAGGCTCTGGTTCTTTTACCTTGTTTTGAACCTTGTCCGACCTCCATTCCCAAGGATAACTCTTGGTCTAAAATGGCTGTTCCACCTCCAGCCATCACTTTCACAATCCAACCAGTAGGAAAGGATGAAAGAGAAGAGGGAGGGCACACCCTTCACTTCGTGGAAGCTTCTCAGACGTTAGCCACATCACCTCCATCTACATCCCATCAGCCAAAACTTAGGCATGAGCTCAGATCTGGCTTCATGGAAAGTGGGGGGCTCTAGTCTTCTTTCCAAACAGCCACTACTTACCATGAAAGGGGTAACAGATACTGGGAAAGCACGGTCTCTGGTACACCTCACTTACCCTTTTCTTTTAAATTTAAAATTGGTAGTGTTCTCACCCATTTTCTTCCCTTCTGCTTATCCCAAAGAAAGAGATGCCCAAACTCCTTACCAAGGATCCACCCCTTCCCAATCTCAGAGTCCTGTCTTCCTCACAGAGTCCCCACCAGCATCTCCAACCTGCCCCTCTCCCTGGCTCGTTTCCTGCTCCACACAAACACATGGATCTTGGCTCGAGCCTAACCTGAACCTGACACTGTCCTGACTTTTCTCCTTTCTCCTTCTATTGACACGTTTCTCAAACAGGTATCAATACATGCACTTCTCTGTTTCATTATCACACACTCACCTCTTAAAGCCCTGCAGTTTGGCTCCTCCTACACACACTCCCTTCCATCTCAGGGGTTACCACTGACCTCCACTCACCAGACCCTGGGGCCTTCTTTCAGTCCCCATCTGTCCAGACCTCTAGGTGGCAATCGATGCTGTTAGCCCCTCCCTCCTTGATTTAGGGAAACTAGGACATCCTGATTCTATTCTAATCTCTCACTTCTGTACAAGCTCTTTTCCTTCCCTCGTTTTCAGGGGAAGTAATTTCCCAATAATCAGTTCTAGCTGTCATTCAGAGATCCTGTTTCCTCTTGTGGTTTCTGCATCACATGTAGGTAGATGTTTCCCCGCTCTGTCTCCGAGTCTCAGTCCTGCATTTCCCTACCTGGCTGGATACTCCACTTGGATGTTTTTCCTGAACTGCAAACTCAGCAGTTTAAATGTTAAAAATTCATCATCCTCCCTCCAACTCCAGCTTCCTCTTTGAATTTCCCCACTTCCATCAATCAGACTCAACTGCTCAGGGATGCCTTGCTTTCTCCCCATATCATTGCCATGTTTCCAATCAGTCTGAGTGGGACAGAATCCCCTTTCATGGGGAGGCTGACAGCTCCCAACCCACCACCGGGCCATAGTGGTCCTTCCACCCTTGAGTCTCATTGCTGGAAATACTAATCGACATGTCAAATGCAATCATATAGTGTCAGCTTCCTCTTTACAAAGACACGTCTTTTATTCTCCTCTTACTCCAGACTATCTGCTTCTTGAGGGCAGAGCCCACCACCACGATCCAAGCATTGAGCTTTGTGCTCCGTGGGTATTCAGTAAATAATGGTCGTTATACACAGTGATTGTGAAGCATGGATACACTTTCAATTTAGGTCACGGTCTGCACTGACCACCAACTACGGAGCTAACCTCCTGCCATGCGTGACCTCAGTGATTATTTATAGGAACCCCAGGAAATAGGGATTATCGTTCCTCTATTTCAGGTGGGAAAACTGAGGCTTGACGATGTTAATTAAATCACCCAAGCTCATATAGCTATCAAATAGGAGAACAAGACTGTCCAGCCAGACCAGCCTATCTCTAGCGCTCTGCTCTGCACACTTTCTTAACAAGTGAGCCTCTGATGCACAAACAGAGGCCCCTTCACAAAAGTATCCTTGGGTCTTCCTGCTGCCTGGTGCACCTGCTGTGAAATACTAGGCGGAGAGTCATGAGATTTATTTTTTTTAACAAGCATACTACTTTAAATCCGGGACTCCTAGCCTCAGCGCTGTTGACTCCTGTGCCATATAACACTTGATGTGGGGGCTGCCCTGTGCAGTATAGGATGTTTCCAGCATCCCTGGCCTCTGCCGACTAGATGCCACTAGCAACCTCCCCTGACCCCAAGTTGTGACAACCCAAAATGTCCCTCTAACATTGCTAAATGTTCCTTGAGAAACAAAATTGCCTCCCAGTTGAAAACCACTGCATCAAAAATTTAAATAACCTAATCTGAAGAAATTGTAAAAGTGGTTTGGTACAGAAAGCATACAGCATGAACAACAAGCTCTTTCCCCTCAAGAGCATTAGGCACATAGTTCAAAGGCGTTGTTATTGCCCAAAATAGCTTTAGAACTTCTCTTTTGGCAGTGCCTTCAGAGCCCAAAGAAAATTCTTTTAATAGTCTCCATGGTGGCTAGCCCCAAAGAACTGTGGCAAAAATATTTTGAGAATAAATAAAATCATAAGATTGGTACCTCCAGGAGTGCTCTGAAGTGGGAATCCTCTCTAACGACCCAGTGTGCGCACACCTCCTGCGCAGCCACCTTCTCCCTTCACCACACCGGCCCCACAGGGTACGCTTCATCACTGACGGAGACGTTGGCAGTGACTTCAAGCTAGACTTGGAGCTTCATGAGGGCAGAAACTGTGCTGAGAGAATGAGTGAATGGCTGAGTAAGCGATGAATGAATGAACGCAAGAATGACTGAGTGGATGGCTGCGATCAGGCGCTCAGTGATTACCTAACAAATGCTTGGTGCTTCCTAGAGACACACATCAGTGATGGAAATCTGGACCCCTTGGGTGCAGGGGGAAATTCCACAATCAAAATAAGATATCAGAGAATCACTGGGCTCTAGGAAGATGAAAGAGAGGTCAAAATAGTTTAAATCAAACTCCTATTATTTCTACTTTATAACTCACATGCAGTAATAACACAACAGCTGAGGCTTTCAATATGTGCCACGCGTTGTGTGAAGTGCCCTGTGCACCTCCTCACGTCACCCTGTTAACAGCCCCATGAGAGACAGACATTAGAATCCTCAACAATGAGAACTCACTGAGTCAGAGGTTCAAATTCTTGCCAAAGGCTCACAGCAATCAGTGCCAAAGCACTTTAAATCTGGGTCAGCCTGTAAATAGCCCAGGCTCCATGCACTGCTCACAGTACCTTCTAAGGACACAGAGTATTTGCGAATTCAAATTGATTCATTGATTCATTCGTCACACTTATTAAGGACCCAAGGGTTGCCATGAAGGATACAAAAATTGGTAAATGAGCATATTCTCTGACATAAAGGGACATGTAAATCTTGAGTCTTGCAAATCTCTTTAGACAGAATTCTTTCTAGGAAGATCTATGCTGATAGGGCAGAGACAGGGTCTTACAAAAATCTGAAGGCTTTTGTTTTACAACAAAAACAGCTTTGTCTTGGATTATACTAGGTCCACAAACTGTACTGAAATTGGGAAAAATGCATGATTTTTTAAAGGGTAGTTAAATGCCACCCTAAGAATAGTTACAGTTATATGTTAAGAGTGAAAGTTTCATTGTATTCAACAAGCCCAAAAGTTCATATTTCAAAAGAAAGTTTATATTTCAGAAAAGTAAGATAATCGGTCAACCTTTCCCAACATCTTTATGAAAATTATAACCAAGTCTTCAACCAGTCTGTGTTAGTTTACTTCACTCCACAACTCTCTTTCCCATTTTGTTTTATGAACATTCTTTTCCCCCAGAATGACATCTACTGCTATTCAGTCATTCAGTCATATCCCCCATCTCCTTACTGCTCGTCATCGCTAATACACAGACTGGGGCACGGATTGAAGTCAAAGCTTCCTCACTGATGGACATAAGCAACGATTGTTTATTATTCATTA